TGCATAGAACTTCAGCCGACTTGAGACTTTTACAGGTGCTCCGTTTATAACTGATGTGGAGGTTGAACCGGGTATCTGGGATGTGCCGTTGGTCTGCCGTCTTCGCCAAGATTTTATGATATCATGGTACCAAAATTTGAAACAACAACAAAAAATAAAGGGCGAGGGGGGGGGAAAGGGGGGGGGAGCGGGGGTACCCTAATCTATTTTTTTTATTCTCTAATGAAGAAAAGCTGCTTATGAATGTATGGATGCGAGTCCCATGATCTTGTTCAATCATTGAAGAAAAATCGGAGCTCTTGAACTGAAATGTTACAGAAAGATTTTTAGAATAGTAAGGAGCCAGACGAAGAAACACATCGACATTCGACATGATCGGAGCATCGAGGGGAACTGTCTCATAAAAAACATCCTGTCGTGAAAGCGGAGATGTTTTGATAAAGTCGAGCGCCATGGCGGCCTGGACAAAAAAAAACAGAACCAGTGATGAAGGGTGTAGTTTCCAGAAAAAGAGAAGCGACCTCCACGATGTTGGATGCAAGACATTGACGATGCATTAGTTAGGAAAGCACATAAGACTAGAGAACTGGCTAGAGAAAGAGGGACGTTCATGCGTGACGTTTAGGCGTGACGTTCAGGTGTGACGTTCAGGTGTGACGTTCAGGGGTGTCGTTCAGGTGTGACGTTCAGGGGTGTCGTTCAGGTGTGACGTTCAGGTGTGACGTTCAGGGGTGTCGTTCAGGTGTGACGTTCAGGTGTGACGTTCAGGGGTGTCGTTTAGGTGTGACGTTCAGGTGTGACGTTCAGGGGTGTCGTTTTTGTGTGACGTTCATGGGTGACGTTGTGATGCGATGTTCATGCGTGACGTTCAGGCGTGACGTTTATGTGTGACGTTCTAACGTGACGTTTAGGCGTGATGTTCAGGGGCGACGTTCAGGCGTGAGATTCAGGCGTCACGTGACAAGAGCAACGCAGTGTAAAGGACCTACTGATAGACGATGAAGAATGGAGCATAGGGATTCAGCTAACTGACTCAAAACTTCCTGTAGGCTTCTTCATGATAGTTTAACCCACCTCAGTTGGCAGTTAAAAGCACAATTATTTTTTCTGGAAGCTGTGATGGCGCTGCGTGAAGCAATCCTTTCTGTGCATCAAATGAGCATAAAATCTGTGATGGCGCTGCGTGAAGCAATCCTTTCTGTGCATCAAATGAGCATAAAATCTGTGATGGTGCTGCGTAAAGCAATCCTTTCTGTGCATCAAATGAGCATAAAATCTGTGATGGCGCTGCGTGAAGCAATCCTTTCTGTGCATCAAATGAGCATTAAATCTGTGATGGTGCCGCGTGAAGCAATCCTTTCTGTGCATCAAATGAGCATAAAATCTGTGATGGTGCCGCGTGAAGCAATCCTTTCTGTGCATCAAATGATCATAAAATCTGTGATGGTGCCGCGTGAAGCAATCCTTTCTGTGCATCAAATGAGCATAAAATCTGTGATGGCGCTGCGTGAAGCAATCCTTTCTGTGCATCAAATGAGCATAAAATCTGTGATGGCGCTGCGTGAAGGAATCTTTCTGTTCTGAGCATAAAATCTGTGATGGCGCTGCATCCTTTCTGTCCATCAAATGAGCATAAAATCTGTGATGGCGCTGCGTGAAGCAATCCTTTCTGTCCATCAAATGAGCATAAAATCTGTGATGGCGCTGCGTGAAGCAATCCTTTCTGTCCATCAAATGAGCATAAAACCTGTGATGGCGCTGCGTGAAGCAATCCTTTCTTTGCATCAAATGAGCATAAAATCTGTAATGGCGCTGCGTGAAGCAATCCTTTCTGTCCATCAAATGAGCATAAAATCTGTGATGGCGCTGCGTGTAGTAATCCTTTCTGTGCATCAAATGAGCATAAAATCTGTGATGTTGCCGTGTGTAGCAATCCTTTTTGTGCATCAAATGAGCATAAAATCTTTGATGTTGCCGTGTGAAGCAATCCTTTCTGTTCATCAAATGATCATAAAATCTGTGATGTTGCCGTGTGTAGCAATCCTTTCTGTCCATCAAATGATCATAAAATCTGTGATGTTGCCGTGTGTAGCAATCCTTTCTGTCCATCAAATGATCATAAAATCTGTGATGTTGCCGTGTGTAGCAATCCTTTCTGTGCATCAAATGATCATAAAATCTGTGATGTTGCCGTGTGTAGCAATCCTTTCTGTCCATTAAATGAGCATAAAATCCGTGATGGCACCGCGTGAAGCAATCCTTTCTGTGGGTCAAATGATCATGTGATCGAATGCCCATCGAGGCTGGTGGCTGATAACTGGACTTTTCAAGTGGACAAAGCCTAAAATTAACACCAGTATATTTTCGGGGAAGTAAAGGAGTTTATGTGAAACTGACAACATCGTCCATTTATTTAAGATGAGCTTAAAAGTAAGATGAAAGTACAATAAACCTTACCTGCTTGAATACGTTTTTTTTATTGTGGTCGTTATTAAAATTATTATTACTATTTACGTTATTGCTATTATCATATGCCATGGTTTATTTCTTTTTAATAAATATTTAACTTTTTGCCGTCTTCACAAAGGAGGTTCGCTGTATGGAAAACGTGCATCCATTATTGTCTTTGTGAACATTTGGTGGTGAGGTGCTGCTATCTTTGTGAAGATTTGGTGGTGAGGTGCTATCTTTGTGAACATTTGGTGGTGAGGTGCTGATATCTTTGTGAACATTTGGTGGTGAGGTGCTGATATCTTTGTGAACATTTGGTGGTGAGGTGCTGATATCTTTGTGAACATTTGGTGGTGAGGTGCTGATATCTTTGTGAACATTTGGTGGTGAGGTGCTGATATCTTTGTGAACATTTGGTGGTGAGGTGCTGATATCTTTGTGAACATTTGGTGGTGAGGTGCTGATATCTTTGTGAACATTTGGTGGTGAGGTGCTGATATCTTTGTGAACATTTGGTGGTGAGGTGCTGATATCTTTGTGAACATTTGGTGGTGAGGTGCTGATATCTTTGTGAACATTTCGTGGTGAGGTGCTGATATCTTTGTGAACATTTCGTGGTGAGGTGCTGATATCTGTGTGAACATTTCGTGGTGAGGTGCTGATATCTTTGTGAACATTTCGTGGTGAGGTGCTGATATCTTTGTGAACATTTCGTGGTGAGGTGCTGATATCTGTGTGAACATTTCGTGGTGAGGTGCTGATATCTTTGTGAACATTTCGTGGTGGGGTGCTGATATCTTTGTGAACATTTCGTGGTGGGGTGCTGATATCTTTGTGAACATTTCGTGGTGAGGTGCTGATATCTTTGTGAACATTTCGTGGTGAGGTGCTGATATTTTTTACTGCGCCACTCTCCTACCACTGCCTGATTGCAGTGAAATGGGACTTTTTTTTTTTTTTTAAATCGCCATATTCAAAAATTGAACCTCGAGAGAGTAAGGTTTGTAAAAACAAGTTAGGAACATGTTTGTTTTCACTCATCGGGTCACCTTCGGGAACGACACGTCTGGATGTCTGCAAACAGACACGTCTGGATGTCTGCAAACAGACACGTCTGGATGTCTGCAAACAGACACGTCTGGATGTCTGCAAACAGACACGTCTGGATGTCTGCAAACAGACACGAGACCGGAGCGTTGGTGTCGGGAACATGCCGCTTTAAGCACTCGACAGTTGCTCGGCAACAGACATTTATGTTCATGACCTTTAGAGAACAACTGGAGATCAGACAAGACGACAATCACGGAAACCACGAAAGACTGTGTCGGTTCTATTTGTGTACTTGTTGCTATGTGGTTACCAAAATGGCGATGTCGTGCTTGGCTTCAGTTTAGCGGTGATCTGGGCACTGTTTGCTGGCGTTGACACATGTTGCTTCTTGTTTCGCTTGGCGTCAGCTTTAGTCTCCTCGCCGTTCAGATTTGATTTGATGAAGAGTTATATAGTCTTTCTGTGTGTTAGTGGTGGTATTTTTTTTTTTTTCACACACAAAAATTGATACATTGAATACTAAATTTCAGATGCAATAATTATCTGCACGAGTTTAATCTATCGCTTTAGCTGTGTTAGTTGTGTTTCAATGCGGTTATTTTGACATGTTATAGATATCTAGTGTTTTCATTGTGCTAGTGTTCATGTTGTACACTAGTATGTGCTTGCTTTTGGTCTTCGTGAACATATGAATAGTGCTACAGTATTCTACATTACAGTTTAGTTATTGATATAATGATTTATATTCGCATATATTTTGTGTTACAAACATATTTTACATTTATAGTGGTGTCCCAATCTACATTGTTTGATAACTTGCTCAGTGTTAAGTTTTAACTTATGGTTAGTGCAACACTAAACTTCATTATTACCTAGTTTCTATTATGGTATTCTATATTTACTGTATCACATGGCAGTCAGTAGAACCGCAGGTTCCATGCCCGACCACTAGTTTTGTGTCGCGAGTCCGTAGTTTGAAACTGGCACTCAACGCTTTATAATTTAAACGTCACGCAGGTCGTCCTTACTTCCCATGAAATGTCCTGGTGCACATAAAGGCTTGCTTCATCTGAGAGTTCAACAGCATTTGTAAAGCATCCTCATCTCTAGGTAGATCTGAATACACTCCTACTGGGTCAGTTAGAGTTTCAGGACGCAATGGTACACAAAGCTTGAAGTGTCCAAAGTCTACGTTTAACGCGACACACTATTCCTGTAACCAAGTCAGGATTAGATTCATAGTCCGTCGAGTACAGCTCTGAGAGGATTAGATAAACACACGGTTCGAATCAGTATCTGTGTGTATCATTTATAGCTGCATAACAGTATCTTGTGAACAGACAACTGGCAACCACACCCGCTTCTCTACACATCTGTTCCATCTGGTAGCTATTGGTTCCTTTGACCCTGGAACTCACTAGAAGCCAGGGGGTTTAACTTGTCCATGACACGTCACGACGTTCAACTCTGGCGACACTGACCTTTCTTACAGATAAATAATGAGCAACCAAACTAGCGGCATGTTGTTCTCCTATGTGAATAGAAGGTTAGTATTGTACAGTCCAACTGAACTATCTCTGACTGTGCCGTTATATATATATATACCATAAACTACACACCGTTGTCCTCATTGTAGAATTACAGAACCTATCGTGTATATGGAGATACTTGAATTGTACAAACTTAAATACATGCCCGTGTTGTGTGTGCGTGTATGTGTTGCGTATGGGTATGTAAATTTGTAATGTACAGTCGAAATGAAATATTGCTAACTGTGAAGTTGCATATACAGACTGTATACATGATAAATCCGTTTTTGTAGAAACACACACACACATACATACACACACACACACCCACAAATGTCAACAATCAACAGGTCCTGTACAGACCGTCCCTCTCATCGCGGCAGACCTGAACGTCTGTCTACCTGTCGCCAGTTCTCCAGCCTTGTATGCTTTCATAGACAATGCCTCTCTAACGTCTTGTATAAAGCTTCGTGGAGGTCAGCCTCTGCCTCGTTTTCCGGAAACGTTACCTTCCATCACCGCTCTCTCTAGGCCACTAGAATGTTCAACATGGGCAAAATTGGCCAGCTTTCGGGAGAGGATGTGGTTTGTATGCCAGGCTGGGTGCCCAGATCCTCTTGGTTGTCGGGTTGTTCACACACACACACACACACACACACACACACACACACACACACACACACACACACATACACACACATATACACACACATATACACACACATATACACACACATACACACACTCACATACACACACACACATACATGCACACACATACACACATATATACACACACATACACACACACACATACACGTGAATTCTCTCGGGTACAACTAACATGTCTGTAAACAAAGCAAGCACGGATAGCTGGCCTTTAATAGTTCCAAATATCAAAATTGAATATTTCCTGTTCCCACCTCTCATGTCCAGCATGTGTTTGCAACGATTGGGTTGATACCGGTGAAACCAGACAGGCAGGTCCTGACGTGCATCATATACTCGATTGTATCACCTCCTTTATCTGGCCCACGATCGACCGCGTACAGCGCCAAAAATCATCGATTTGCTGGAAATCAATATTGCTAGTGTTTGAACACGGTTTGCTTATTAATCTTTCCTTGTGGTGATAAGACGGCGATTGACACACCTGATCTGCTTGTCTGGGTAGAGGTATCGCTTAGGCTGTCTGCCAGTCTACCTGTCTGCTTGTCTGTTCGATTTGGTGTCTGTCAGTCAATCTGTCTATCCATACACCAGCCATCCTACACACCTGTCTGTCTTATCGTCTGCCCTCTTTTCCGTCAGTCAGTCTGTTTACCGGTGTGGCCGTCCGTCTGGTGTGTGTTTCCCCACCTCAGTGTTTGTTTGTTCTTTACTTTTATCTGTCATTTATCTGTAGCCGTGTCGATTAATTTGTTTCCATTCGCCATTATGTGAAACTATTGGTCCCATAGCTGTACGATTTGTTAACATCCAATCTCAGTCTAACACTTCTTACTTTAGGACTGTTAGATTACTTCAACTATTTTACTGCCCCTTCATCAATGCTATTACATAATTGCTACTACACGTATCCAATTTTAATACTAAGTCATTGCTACTAATATGTTATTGGAAAAGGCATAGACAAATTGGAACCACTGTTGTAAACCTGTATCTAATAGTAACATTCTTCTGAAAGGTAAAATATAACTCCCAGTTTCGATGAACATATTTCTATTTGTATCGTGTTCATGAGTTTGTTCACCGAAAAAGACATCGAAACTTCTGCTTACATCTTTTAGTGTCAACCCCTTCCCCCCCCCCCCTCTTTTTTTCTATTTATTTTCTCTGCTCCCCCGTTGATGCTGCTTGTCATTCCTAGTTCAGGTTCATCTGAGTTGTCTGAAAGCTAACCGATAACCTGGTTTATTTCAGTCAGTACCACGAATCCTGTGTCCCCAAGAATGTGACCCAAACTGTAGAACCTGCAGATGCTGGAAAGGCCCAAAAATCCCTGGATCGTGTCAACTTCGATCCAGTCTCCCAGGATGTGATCTGGCGGCAGACCTTGCAAGCCGAGCGCCGGTGTCTCAAAGATTGGTGAGTAGTTTTTTACACGCGTGGCACCAGGACGATGGTTGTTTTGTTCATCATTATCATCATCGTCGTTGTCGTCATCATCATTATCGTCCTCGTCAGTGTGATCATTATCATCAAATTCATCGTCATCATCATCATTGTCATTGTCGTCATCCTCAGTATCGTCGTTGTCGTCATTCTCATTATCGTCGTTGAAGCCATCATCATCGTCATTGTCGTCATCCTCATCATTGTCGTCGTCAACCTCTTTAACGTCGTCATAACCTTCATTGTCGTTATCGTCATCCTCATCATTGTCATTGTCGTCATCCTTATCATTGTCGTTGTCATCATCATCATCGTCGTTGTTATAATTATCATCATCATAGTTGTTGTCGTCGTCGTCATCATCGACATTGTCGTCATCCTCATAATCGTCGTTGTAGCCATCATCATCGTCATTGCTGTCATCCTCATCATCGTTGTCGTCATCCTCAATAACGTCGTTGTCGCCATCACCATCATCATCATTATCGTTTTCTCATCATCGTCGTTGTCGTCGCCATAGTTATCATGGATGTCGTCATTATCATCATCATACTCGTCGTTGCCGTCATCCTCATCATCGTCGTTACTGTATTGTTGTCATTCTTATCATTGTTGTTATCATCATGATCATTATACCATCGTCCCGGTTTAAGTAACACAGAGCTGCCTGTCGATCCCCTTATTCTGTTGTATCCTGGCTAATCATGTTGATCTTATGCAACCGATCTAGTGTGGCACCTGTGGTTTCTCTTCACAACGTTCGTCTCAGGGTTTCCTCAGTTCATCTGTTTTGTGATTTCGTGTCTACTTCAGCCCGTGATGTGCCAAATAGAATTGTGTTCGACTTGTAATGGCTTCCCATTCTAACAAACACCTGTCCACTCTGGATGTCTTGTTGCTATTCTCTAGCTCCCTGCAAGTGACAGGATAGATAAGTCTGTAATATCTTTCCATTGTAAATAATTCAGAGATATTTAATCTAAGCTCAGTTTCCATTATATTCATAGTTTATGTCTGTTGCATTTATTTCAAAGTCAAGGGCGTTAATTGAGGACAAGTAGACCAATTTTAGTTAATAATCATTACGTCCTTTTTAGGACGTAATTTTTTGTTATTTGAAGCCCCACTCTGGCTTTTGCCAGGGGCCGCAATATAGGCAGGTCATCATTATGGCCAAATGTCTGAACGCGGTTTCTGGGACCTCTCCACGGTGATCCTCATCCGCATGGTGGCAATGTTTATCGCTTGTGTGATGTCCTGGTGGGGTAAAAAATCCAATCCAATCCAATTTTAGTATCAGAGATTTGAATGTCGTCCCCACGTGGGATGCAATTTTTCGTTACTTGAAGCCCCATCCTGGCTTTTTCCGGGGGCCCTGAATATAGCCGGTCCATAAATATGGTCTAACGGCTGAAAGGGGTTACTGGGACCTCTCCACAGGTGATCCTCATCCGCATGGTGGCACTTTGTGTCATCGGGTGTTTCTCCCTTGTGTGATGTCCTGGTGGTGTACAACAAGAGGGAGAGAGATAAAGAGAGAGAGAGAGAGGCAGAGAGAGAGACAGAGAGAGAGATTTCAATATCTAGACACATGGATAAAATCTGATGGTAGATGTATCACAGAGATAAAGAACGGAATAGGACAGAAAACTGCATTTTTATAAAAATGAATGACTATTTTGTGCGTTACATCTACGTCGTTAGAGGTGAAAAATATATGCTCGTATATAGAGTTAGTGCCTCAAATGGATACCAGGATGGCTGTCCTCTGAAAGTAAAGACGGCGATGTATTGCTGACCACATTACCCATCCAGTGCCGATTGGTCTGTAAAAATATGGGAAGCTCTGTCCATATACCCGATACGCCTTAGGCGTGATAAGGAATCTTTACTTTTTTTTTTTTTTATAGAGTTAGATTTAACAACACATGGCTGTGAATCCTGGACGATTATTAAACAAGGCAAAAGAGATGTGGTTTTACTGAAGAATCTTTAGAATTGCGTGGACAGCCCAAATGAGCAATCCCTGTGTTGTGATAGAGGCGAGGGCTGTAAGGCAATTATCACAAACATCAGAAAGAGACAGTTCTAACTTTAATATCCAGAAAGTCAGGAATGTCTTCTGATTACGTAAAGCGGGTTTGGCTGTTTAAATAATAGAAGTTTCTCCATCTTCTGCAGTGTCGTGTTCCTTGTGTGGTAAACAAAACTGAAGGCACTGTGCTTATCAATTATGTGTCCCAGCCCAAACCAGGGGCATTGTTCCCCCACCCCTTCTTCCTTTTTTCCCCATGTACACATACACGCAGAGAGAGAGAGAGAGAGAGAGAGAGAGAGAGAGAGAGAGAGAGAGAGAGAGAGAGAGAGAGAGACTAGTGTGGATGTAACCCAAGAAATGTACTGTCTTATAGGCAAAGCTTTTATACTAGTGCTAACATATATTGATTTGTGTTCACAAACAGGGAAGAGAACTGGGGTTTTCTTACAGCCTATGACGCCAAGGTAAGTTTGAATTCTTTCCCATGAGTCTCACTGAAAACGTCGCCATGAATATTTCTATTAATTGCTAAGTTTCTAAAAAATCTGACAGCGATATTGAACTTAACTAAAGTTTGTGAGAGCAGTAATTGCAGTACACTCCTGCAGGGACTGTGTTCTTGTGTTCCGATCCCCATCGAAAAAGCTAATAAATTTGACTTGGAGTTGCAAGCATAATGTGATTGTAATAATCCTTACTATTGTCAAAAACAAAAATATAATTTGTTGTGTTCGCTATCTCAATGTTGTTACTTTCAAAGCCGTTCCCTAGTGGGATGCAATCGTTTGTTATTCGAAGCCCCACTCTGGCTTCTGCCGGGGGCCCTGAATATAGCCGGGGTATAGATACGACCAAGCCATAGATATGGCCTAACGGCTGAAAAGGGTTTCTGGGACCGCAGCACGGGTGATCCTCATCCGCATGGTGGCACTTTGTGTCACCGTGTGTTTATTGCTTGTGTGATGTCCTGGGGTACAACTACCTACCTACCTCACTGTTTCAGGTTACAATGTCCCGGTGTAGGACGCAAGTTTTTGTTTAAACCCCATCCTGGCTGTCGCTGGGGGCCCTAAATATAACTTAGTGTTAAACGTTGTTTCTGGGACATGCACCCGGGTAATTTTCATCCGTATGGTGGCACTTTATGTCACCGGGTGTTCGTCGCTCGCTGTGGGGTCCTGATGGGGGTGAACGTTGGTCAATTAGTCACTGTTTCATGCACCTTTCAAGTTTTTTCTCTTCTAAATTATATCCTTATAAGTGATAGAACCAACTTCGATGCACAAGATTAAGCCCATATGGGTCGGTCGGTCTTCTGAAAACATATGTTACCGTCTGAGAGGGTCCCATAAATAACGAACTCGGTAGCTTTAGGAACGAAACCATTCAACTCGTGATGGCTTCGGGAAATGGCAGGTAATATGCATTCTGGATGGGTAGAAAGCATTCACAAATCGCACTTATCCCCATCACTTGGATCTACACACCTGGGCATGAAACCGTAAAGGGTAATGAGCGGACCATCTGGCAAGCAAGGCACAAAAATATGGAAAGAAGCATGGACAGAGCAGATATCAACGACGCTGTAGGGACTGGGCTAATGACGAATCTCTGACACTAACACGCTTGCGTGACATGAGAGTAAAGCATGGTGAAGCACGTCTATGACGACTTCGAGGCCGAGATTGGAGACATTATAACCAATCTCTCAAAGAAACAATTAGTAGAAGTACTTTGGAGTCGCTGCTGCAACGGAGGACTGATCACACATGGAATGACCCTTGTGCAGTGACGTCGATTGTGATAACATAAAATTCAACTAGAGAAACAATCCAAACATGAACCCACGACTTTCGGAACTCCAGGTAAACGATTTGACTTGTCTACCACAAGACCAGCCACACCTTTTCCCCCTTTAAGAGTCTTCAACAATTTAACGGATGATGATGCTAACGTTTCTATGTGTATGTAATTCTTGTTCTCGCGCCTGTATCATCTAACAGGGCCGGGTCAGAGAGAGGCAGCCACTGCCAGAACGCTCCAACATGTTCAGTAATGACGTACCAAACACCAGCTCCGGTAATTATGGCAACAGACTCACAACAGACCTGGGCAGTACCATGTCGACATTGGAAAAACGGTTTTTCTCCCAGCACAGGAAGCGACATCTGCCTTCAGAAATGTTGTGTCTTTGAAAACGTTTCACTGGTCGTCTGTTTGGGTGCTCGATTATAATGTCAATGCACACTGTCTCTTTATCTGCTCACTTCTACCTTGTAATGTATCTGCTATCGGTAATTGCTGAAGTCACAATGCCTGGTTACAGGTGTATTCTCTTATATACAGGAGCTCTGAAACAAAGAAAACATGCGGGTGCTCCGGACAGGGGCAGAAGCGAGGGGGGGGGGGGTTTCCTAACCCTTTAATCTCGTATGGTCCGTCAAGGAAGCTAAGCCTTGATACAGTGAGTAATAATAATAATGTGTTGAATGGCAGATAACTAAAATAAACATGAAATAATATAAAATGTATACACAAATGTTTTAACAGAAAAGTTCTATACATAAACATTGTGAATAAACAGTGTAGCTATCTTAAATCTATTACTGGTTTTGTGTGTGGGGGAAGGGGCGGGGAGGGGGGGGAGTGAGTAATGGCTAATAGTTTGTCAAGTGGCTGACCGACTCAGACTCACATTTTTTCTCAAGTGTCTCACTGAGTGTGTGTGTGTGTGCGCGCGCGCTGCATGTAAGTATGTGTGTAGGCATGAGGGAATTTGTGAGAGTGTGTGTTAGTGCATGCGCGTTTGTTTTTAAGTGTGTGAGATTGTGTGAGTGGGTATATATATATATATATATATGTGTGTGTGTGTGTGTGTGTGTGTGTGTTTTCTACGTGAAAATATATGCGTTTATGAATGTTCGTGAGTGTGTGAGAGTGTATGCACATATTTGTGCGCGAGTACATGCGCGTGTGTGCGCTGACAACGAAACCAACAACAAAGCTGAGACAAGCAGAACATTATCTTGAATGTGTAAATCCTCAATGTTTAATTGTCTCTGGCTTCAGAACTGTTTCCATTTATGTTTGCTTTCGCCATTGTCAACACTCATTTTTTGAGTGTCTTTTATTCTGTCAATAAATGGTATATTGTTTTGTTTGTTCGTTTTGTCAATCTAAGTATGTAGTTAAATTTGACACACATGCAACGGTACTCTAAAGTTGCTGCCTTGTGTTGCCTGACAGTTGGATGGATCTGTCTGTCAATCACAGCAATTTCCTGTCCATTAGAATAAATTAAAATGGTATGTAATTAAATTATAAACAAATGTAACAGTTCCCTTCCTCCGTCCGTCTACTTGACGGAGGTCATAAAGTAGGTCAGACAGGCAACTCCCGCGGACAAGATAAGTGAAGACATGGCGCAATCACCTGAAAAATGTGAAGAAAAAATGTATATATATATATATATATATATATATATATATATATATATATATATATATATATATATATATATATATATACACGTACAGTACTATTATTTTGCTTTCCTTGCTCAGTGTCATTACCAACTCTGTCTCTCTCTCTCTATATATATATATATATATAGTGTCTGTAAGTGTGACTGGTGCACTAGCAAATACAAGTTCGTGATTATGCTCGTGACCACTGGAGCAATGATGTGACGATATCTGCTGACGGAGACGGAACCAAAAGACATGTCCTAAGTTCGTTAACATCAGCATTGTGTGACAAGACAACTGAAGACATAATTACCAGATGTGAAACAGTAAGAATACGCAAAACATCCGTATGTCCAAGTGGCAGTTAATTAGGTTCTCATCTCAGTTACCTCACATCAAATTTTCTTACTTCTTTTTTTTGATCGGATAAACTTTGAGAGGGGAGGGGGGGGGGGGTAGCTTCCAATTTAATTTGGATTTGAGACCTGCAGGACAAAGTGCTCGTCACTGAACCATTATGGCTTCACGCTTTGTCTGTGGGTCATTAACTCACTCTTGCAAGGTAAGTGGTCAGTGAAGGCAAGAAGACCCAGGTGGCTGTAGATCGGTTTTTGTATAAACTGAATGGCAATCCAAGAGCTATTTGGTCAGTTCTCCGCCGAGCGACTGTACTGACCAGAAAATGCCCTGGTAACAGAACATCACTTAGAAGATGAAAGTGAAGATGACAAAGAAGGCTTCTCTTGATCACGTGACTCCGTACACGCCCACTCTGTTTGGTATGTACAAGTTTCAGCACACGGAATTAGCACAGTTCAAAATACAGACACGTAGGTTATATGTGTCGGCTCTGTGGCTAAGTCGATGTGAACGCTTCGTAATGCCGGTATGCGAGCCATGTGCCTTGGTTTGGCTTCGACTGTGGTATCAAGAAAGCCGACCGTCCGGAAAGCAATGGCAAACTACTGGACGTAAATTTGCCTAGAAAAACCACAAAACAGCCAGGGGCTGTTGGGGTTGGTTCTGCAACGTCCTGTAAAGGATACGCAACTAACCTTTAAGTTATGTGTCCACCATTTGTGTGACGTCAACACAAGAACATCGTAAACTACATATTTTCTGTACATGCCATTGATAATGAATGAACAAAGAATGTATATCTTGTAGACCAACCTGAGGAACAGATGCACAGCGTAATCCTCTCCAGTCTAGACTGCAACTGTTTGGCGTAAGTCTCCAGGCTGCCAACACAGCGACGGCCCTCTAGGAGGTCCCCGATACACACCTGGGCACTGACGGTGGCACTGTGGGTGGGAGGGAGAGAGTGTTAGTGCTGACGTCATCAGGCTGGGGGGGGGATGGGTGCTCCCTGGGAGATACCACTGGTGCACATGTGATGGGATGGTAGTGATGACGGTGAAGTGTGTTGCAATGATATTCTATAAATTTGTTTAAGAAGGGACAGTATTGCAAAGAAGGTAACACGTGTGATAACTTTCCGTGACTGTAAAAACTGTGACAGTATTTTTTTTTTTAGCAACTGACAACTACTATTTGCTAACGACCAGTGCTTGTTCTAACCTGAAGAAGATAGACTGCAAGATCACATTACCGGGCAAACTCAGCATGCAGTAAATACAACATGAAGATCAATGTAAACAACACCGCAACAAAGCAAGTTAGTAGAACCCCTATCCCACAACACATACATCTAAATGGTTCTGCCCTGAATCAAGTTAGGGAGTTTAAATATCTAGGAAATATGATCACAGAAGATGGTAGAATTGACAGAGAAATAGAAACCAGAAGTCAGAAAGCAAGTGCACTTATATACCAATTGTCACCATTATTAAGACATCCAAACATAACTATGAGTGCAAAGAGACAGAATATTAACAGCATATTCATTTCAACATTCGGCTACCAGTGCCAAACATGGACACTATCGTAAACCCATATACGCACAATCATCACCTGCGAGATGAGGTGCCTGAGAAAAAGCAGCCAACCTAACCATCCTAGATCGAGTGAATAATGAAACTATCAGGCGAATTGTGGGAACGACACCTTGTACTAGATTCATCGAGAAACAACAGATCAAGCGATTTGGCGATATCGCTAGAATGCAGCAAGATCAAATACCAACACAAGCACTACATCTCAGAAGATCAGCTACAAGAGCAAGAGGACGACAGCGGAAAAATGGACCAACAACATTAAATACACACTGCGCCTTCACGGCATGACAATAGCCAGTGGTAGCCAACGTGCACTGAATCGTAAATTATTCCTCTCCACGACGCTTAACGGCAGAAGTGGTTTATGATGATGATGATGAGCAACTGGTCCTGTTTAAACTTGTATGTAAAAGTTATAACTGGGGTGTCTGATTTTGTTGCCTCCTGGGTTTAGGTGAATTTACTTCTTCCAACTTGTGTCTGCTGTCTCGCCTGGAGTTGGGGGTCGTAGTTGCTACTCATGTGCCGTCTGCTACGCGAGGCTCAGCTTCCTATGCGGTTTTTGTTTTTTTCGCACAACCCAGTGATGTTATAGATGGGAAGAGATCAACCAGGGTATCTACATGTGTGAATAGAAGTGATCAATGTTGAAGTGGCCACTGAAAAAAGTGACTAGTTTAAAAAAGGGCTGTATAAAATGACTAGTCTAAGCTGTAGTGAGTATGTGAGGTTCGAGGTTTTCAACAACGGATCACGGCACACGGGTGTAACCCATAAGTGCTCCAGGTGAAACAAATCTCAGCCCTTACCGGGAACTGAACTCGGAGAGGTATTTCCGTAGGCGTTCCGTCCTCATCTTCTGCAGATAGCGCGGAGATCCAGCTCTGGTGGCTCTACTAGCAGCGTAATTGTATGCCTGTCTCGAAGCTCCCTGAGTTAAGCATCGGCTAGATCCTTCCCTGGTCACTCCTCGTTGCCCCATTCTCTTCAGACCGTTAAAACCTATTTGTGCTTACGCACCATCAGCACACATCCTTATAGTCTTGATACCATCTAGTGTGTCTTGTGATGCATCAGTTGACCATGGAGGGAGGCAGAACCAGCCAAAACCGCCTGAATGTTGTTTTAACAGGAGACCTGCATGCCTTGGAAACAAATCCAGAGGACGCTGTATCTACCCAGGACGTCTGAAGCGATGTTTGCCACTCTGCGCGACGGACATCTGTCTTCACCTTCTTCAGCATGCGTTACCAGTTTGTGTTAGTCACAACATTTTTATACGGTTGATTCTGTGACCAGCTGAAGGCTTCAGTGACAGCCTCCACCTTCATTCTCAAATCTTTTAAACAGCCAAAGTTGTTTTGTCTGAGGATCATATTTCTAGCCGGAACGTTCATTTGTGATTTTTTTGCGCGTTCTTTCAATTCTCCTGGTTAAGCTATCCAGTCATAGTATGTGTTTTGTTTAGCATTGTCTCTAGTTGCATCTAAGGGAGGACGAAGAACAACATTGTGTATAAAACTCACTTGCAGAACTGCATATCATTTCCAGTCAGTGAAAACTTCTCCAGGCAAGGTTGTAGGTCACAAGGCCTCTGTATTCCAGAGTCGGCCACAGCTAGACAAAAAACACAGAATCTGATTGCAAAGGAAGGATCAGTAAAATATCTACAACAATTTCTGTCAGTCAGAATTACAGTATGGTCTGGCTGAAATAATTAGTTGAGTATTTAGTTACAATCAACATGGTAGGAATCAGACCGGAGGTGTG